AAACCTTTGGTAATTGGCTGTTGGGGTCACCTGATCGGGAGGCCCCCCATCAGTTCCCGGTCCAAGTAATGATCGGGACTAAAGGGGGGTCATTAACGCTTTCCAGTTCTTCGGCCTGCGAGGCTCCAATGGCAACGCGCGATGTAATCCTCCGTATGGATGGAAGCAGATCATTCAAGAAGCCGCCAGCTCTGGAGCGCGCCCAGCAGCTCGAATTATGCCGCCCACTTCCCAGCGACATTTGGCAGCACAAGAGGTGGACGTGTTTTATCTGCGGCTCATTTACATATGATTTGTAACAAACGCTCTAGCTTGCAGTAGCTGCATTGAAGCGGACGCCGCCAAAACGTGGCGTGTTTTCCAGGCAGACCGCGCAAAAGTAGGTACAAAAAAAAAAGAGCCCCTCATAAGGGGTAAAGCAATTCGCCCGGTGTGAAAGTGAATGAACATTCGTTTATTGTGAATGGGGCAAAAAAACGAATGTTATTAGGCTGTACGACTGGAGGCGCTTCTCGTAATATGGAATTGTCACCAAATGATTGGTCTGCATTGCCAAGTCCAGTCTAGGAACACGTAGGCTGGGAATGAGATAGGACTAGGGCAGGGGTGTGCAAACTACGGGGCACTATTCCCTCCCACTGACACACCAATGATGGGACACTGTTCCTCCCACTGATACCAATGATGGGACACTGTTCCTCCCACTGAAGACACCAATGATGGCGCACTATTCCTCCCACTGACACCAATGATGGCGCACTATTCCTCCCACTGATACCAATGATGGGGCACTATATCCTCCCACTGATACCAATGATGGGGCACTGTTCCTCCCACTGATACCAATGATGGGACACTGTTTCCTCCCACTGACACCAATGATGGGGCACTATCCTTCCACTGACACCAATGATGCGCACTATTCCTCCCACTGACACCAATGATGGCGCACTATTCCTCCCACTGATACCAATGATGGGGCACTATTCCTCCCACTGATACCAATGATGGGGCACTGTTCCTCCCACTGATACCAATGATGGGACACTGTTCCTCCCACTGACACAATGATGGGGCACTATTCCTTCCACTGACACCAATGATGGGGCACTATTCCTCCCACTGACACCAATGATGGGGCACTATTCCTCCCACTGACACCAATGATGGGACAATATTCCTTCCCACTGACACCAATGATGGGGCACTATTCCTCCCACTGACACCAATGATGGGGCACTATTCCTCCCACTGACACCAATGATTGGGGCACTATTCCTCCCACTGACACCAATGATGGGGCACTATTCTCCCACTGACACCAATGATGGGCACTATTCCTCCCACTGACACCAATGATGGGACAATATTCCTCCCACTGATACCAATGATGGGGCACTATTCCTCCCACTGACACCAATGATGGGGCACCATTCCCCCACTGATACCAATGGTGGGGCACAAATTCCTCGCACGGACACCAATGATGGGCACTATTCCCCCCACTGACACCAATGATGGGGCACTATTCCCCCCACTGACACCAATGATGGGACACTATTCCTCCCACTGACACCAATGATGGGGCACTATTCCTCCCACTGATACCAATGATGGGGCACTATTCCCCCCACTGACACCAATGATGGGACACTATTCCTCCCACTGATACCAATGATGGGGCACTATTCCCCCCACTGACACCAATGATGGGACACTATTCCTCCCACTGACACCAATGATGGGGCACTATTCCCCCCACTGACACCAATGATGGGACACTATTCCTCCCACATGACACCAATGATGGGGCACTATTCCCCCCACTGATACCAATGATGGGACACTATTCCTCCCACTGACACCAATGATGGGGCACTATTCCTCCCACTGATACCAATGATGGACACTATTCCTCCCACTGATACCAATGATGGGACACTATTCCTCCCACTGACACCAATGATGGGACACTATTCCTCCCACTGATACCAATGATGGGACACTATTCCTCCCACTGATACCAATGATGGGACACTATTCCTCCCACTGATACCAATGATGGGGCACTATTCCTCCCACTGATACCAATGATGGGGCACTATTCCTCCCACTGACACCAATGATGGGGCACTATTCCTCCCACTGACTCACCAATGATGGGGCACTATTCCTCCCACTGACACCAATGATGGGGCACTATTCCTCCCACTGAACACCAATGATGGGGCACTATTCCTCCCACTGACACCAATGATGGGATACTATTCCTCCCACTGATACCAATGATGGGGGGCACTATTCCTCCCACTGATACCAATGATGGGGCACTATTCCTCCCACTGATACCAATGATGGGGCACTATTCTCCCACTGATACCAATGATGGGGCACTATTCCTCCCACTGACACCAATGATGGGGCACTATTCCTCCCACTGACACCAATGATGGGGCACTATTCCTCCCACTGACACCAATGATGGGGCACTATTCCTCCCACTGACACCAATGATGGGGCACTATTCCTCCCACTGACACCAATGATGGGGCACTATTCCTCCCACTGACACCAATGATGGGATACTATTCCTCCCACTGATACCAATGATGGGGCACTATTCCTCCCACTGACACCAATGATGGGGCACTATTCCTCCCACTGATACCAATGATGGGACACTATTCCTCCCACTGATACCAATGATGGGGCACTATTCCTCCCACTTACACCAATGATGGGGGCACTATTCCTCCCACTGACACCAATGATGGGACACTATTCCTCCCACTGATACCAATGATGGGGCAATATTCCCCCACTGACACCAATGATGGGGCACTATTCCTCCCACTGAGACCAATGATGGGGCACTATTCCTCCCACTGCACCAATGATGGGGCACTATTCCTCCCACTGATACCAATGATGGGGCACTATTCCTCCCCACTGACACCAATGATGGGGCACTATTCCTCCCACTGATACCAATGATGGGGCACTATTCCTCCCACTGATACCAATGATGGGGGCACTATTCCTCTCACTGACACCAATGATGGGGCACTATTCCTCTCACTGACACCAAGCCTGAGTCACTGGCACCGGGGCATTTTGTACTCCCACTGGCCATACTTGGTCCACCCTAATATTTGAAGAACAGTAATCTGGTCCTTTGTTTAGAATGTTTGGGGACCCCTGGCCTAGGGCAGCCTTTTCAAGGTTTTTACCCCAAAAGAAACCTTGAAATAATTTACAAGTCTCAGGAAACCCTGCTAAGATTAGTCAGTCAGGGGTCATTAGGAAAATACCCCTTACATTGGGGGTCAGTGGGAAGAATGTCCCTTACATTGGTGATCAGTGGGAAGAATGTCCCTTACATTGGGGGTCAGTGGGAAGAATGTCCCTTACATTGTTGGTCAGTGAGAAGAATGTCCCTTACATTGGTGATCAATGGGAAGAATGTCCCTTACATTGGAGGTCAGTGGGAAGAATGTCCCTTACATTGGGGGTCAGTGAGAAGAATGTCCCTTACATTGGGGGTCAGTGGGAAGAATGTCCCTTACATTGGAGATCAATGGGAAGAATGTCCCTTACATTGGTGGTCAGTGGGAAGAATGTCCCTTACATTGGTGATCAGTGGGAAGAATGTCCCTTACATTGGTGGTCAGTGGGAAGAATGTCCCTTACATTGGTGGTCAGTGAGAAGAATGTCCCTTACATTGGTGGTTAGTGGGAAGAATGTCCCTTACATTGGTGGTCAGTGGGAAGAATGCCCCTTACATTGGGGGTCAGTGGGAAGAATGCCCCTTACATTGGGGGTCAGTGGGAAGAATGTCCCTTACATTGGGGGTCAGTGGGAAGAATGCCCCTTACATTGGGGGTCAGTGGGAAGAATGTCCCTTCCATTGGGGGTCAGTGGGAAGAATGCTCCTTACATTGGTGGTCAGTGGGAAGAATGTCCCTTACATTGGTGGTCAGTGGGAGGAATGTCCCTTACATTGGGGGTCAGTGGGAAGAATGCCCCTTACATTGGGGATCAGTGGGAAGAATGGCCCTTACATTGGGGATCAGTGGGAAGAATGTCCTTACATTGCTGGTCAGTGGGAAGAATGTCCCTTACATTGGTGGTCAGTGGGAAGAATGTCCCTTACATTGGGGGTCAGTGGGAGGAATGTCCCTTACATTGGGGGTCAGTGGGAAGAATGCCCCTTACATTGGGGATCAGTGGGAAGAATGGCCCTTGCATTGGGGATCAGTGGGAAGAATGTCCTTACATTGCTGGTCAGTGGGAAGAATGTCCCTTACATTGGTGGTCAGTGGGAAGAATGCCCCTTACATTGGTGGTCAGTGGGAAGAATGTCCCTTACATTGGTGGTCAGTGGGAAGAATGGCCCTTATGGTGGTGGTTAGAATGCTACCCTTACAGTCAGCTAAAAGAGATCATTGGTGTCATGCTACTGACTCTTCCAAGTGGGGAGGGAAATACGGAGTCACCATCAGATGGGAGGTCAATCAGCCACAGCTCAAGGAACCCCCCACAACCTCCGGAGGAACTCTGGTTGAGAATGGCTGGTCTATGGAGTAACGGGGAAGAACTTATTAGAGACGTTCTTCCATCTACAATTTACAGCATTCTCATTCGGATTTTTTTTACTCTCCTCACTTTACCGATTTCAGTGCCTGTCGCTTTAATAAAAGTACAGTTATCCTTTAAATAGGTAGCAGCTGTCATTTGTTTAGCACATTGGCTCCCTGGCTCATGGGATTTGCCTAGCCTTGTTCTAGATTCCACTAATTACATTATTATCGTTCTTATCTTGGAGCCTATCATAGGTCTACAACAATCTGTTACAGACATACCTAATTTCACATGCCCCTCCCCCACTCCTCCCAAAATAATTTCGAAACCACCTGACAACACCCCTTTTTTCTTTTCATGGTAAACTGTGAAGTGTTGTCAGGAAGGTATACCATAGTTATCGTTGTTTGTGCCATTTCTTATTCCAACCCAGGGGTGAACTGACCATTTGGAAACTCGGGCACTGCCCGAGGGCCTGGGGTCAGTAGGGGGCCCCGTGTGATGCCCCTGGTGCCTTTTTCATAGGCTTTTTTGAGTTTGGGCAAGGACACAGGGGCCCCATGATCCCCTATTGCCCGGGGGCCCCGTGAGTTGTCAGTCACTTTACTAAAATTTTTGCCATGACTTTCACATTTTGTTCATGATAAGGATTGTATAACTAAAAATAAAGATTTGTTCTACTCGTATATCTTCAGGCGTTCTTGGTGACGGAAGTAGATTTTGGTGTGGGACATCTGGCTCCAAACCGAACTGAAAAACGTGGCTTCCCTAAAATTAAATCAAAAATAAAATATGCCTTTTACACTAGAATACCCCCAAACATGTAACCCTCCCTATACCTCAACTGTTAACCTAACCCCCTAGGGGGCCCATTCACACCAATGTTTTTAAAGATCAGCGTAAATTTGCGTAAATCCATCAATATACAATGTTCAATATACAGTTGATTTGTTGCACATTGGTTGCAAGTGGGAGGAATGTCCCATTTGCGGTGGTGTTCAGAATGCCACCCTTACAGACAGGATTGGGCTCTTGCAGCTGGCTTCACCAAGTGGCGTTGACCGTGGGCCCCATTAAATGAGAGATCAGCCAGTCACAGCTCAAGGAACCCCTAGCAACCTCTGGAGGAACCCTAGTTAAATATGGCTGGTCTAAGGAATATTGGGGAAGAGCTTACTCTAGACTTTATTCTATGGCCTCTTGTGATGCCCCATTCCTAGAGATCAGGTGACTTCCATGTCCAGCTTGAAGGACCGCATGTGAATAGAAGGGAGGAATCATTACACATTTACTTAAATACAGTTACATCACCAGGAGCTTCCAGAATGTCTTGACTCCACATCTGAGACTTTGCTCACATCTACAGACCTAGGTCAACTTCCACCCACTGGACTCCCTCTTTGGTACTTAGTATTAGAGGCCTAATCCTCCTTCTCCATTGTAACTCCTCACAGAGGCACCAGACCTGGTATGCTGCCTTCTCTTGATGTAGCCGCTTCCATTTGGTTGCTTTATATTGTTCCTCTTGCCCCATTTCTGAAGAGTAGGAGACTTCCATGTCCAGCTTGAAGGACCGCATGTGAATTGAAGGGAGGAATCATTACACATTTACTTGAATACAGTTACATCACCAGGAGCTTCCAGGATGTCTTGACTCCACATCTGAGACTTTGCTCACATCCTCTACAGACACACAGGTCAACTTTCACCCACTGGGTGCCCTCTTTGATACTTAGTATGGGAGGCCTAACCCTCCTTTTCCATTGTTACTCCTCAGAGGCACCAGACCTGGTATGCTGTCTTCTCTTAGTGTAGCCACTTCCATTTGGTTGCTTTATATTGTTCCTCTTGCCCCATTTCTGAAGAGCAGGAGACTTCCATGTCCAGCTTGAATGGCCACATGTGAAGTGAAGCGAGAAATCATTACACATTTACTTGCATACAGTTAAATCACCAGGAGCTTCCAGGATGTCTTGACTCTTAATATGAGACTAGGCCCACATCTTCTACAGACATAGGTCAACTTTCACCCACTGGACTCCCTCTTTGGTACTTAGTATTAGAGGCCTAATCCCCCTTCTCCATTGTAACTCGTCACAGAGGCACCAGACCGGACATGCTGTATTCTTAGTGTAGCCAATTCCATTTGGTTACTTTATATTAATCTTTTTGTCCCATTCCTGGAGAGCAGGAGACTTCCATGTCCAGCTTGAATGGCCACATGTGAAGTGAAGTGAGGAATCATTACACATTTACTTGCATACAGTTACATCACCAGGAGCTTCCAGGATGTCTTGACTCTACATATGAGACTTGGCCCACATCTTCTACAGACATAGGTCAACTTTCACCCACTGGACTCCCTCTTTGGTACTTAGTATTAGAAGCCTAATCCTCCTTCTCCATTGTAACTCGTCACAGAGGCACCAGACCGGACATGCTGTATTCTTAGTGTAGCCAATTCCATTTGGTTACTTTATATGGGTCTTCTTGTCCCATTCTTGGAGAGCAGGAGACTTCCATGTCCAGCTTGAATGGCCACATGTGAAGTGAAGTGAGGAATCATTACACATTTACTTGCATACAGTTACATCACCAGGAGCTTCCAGGATGTCTTGACTCTACATATGAGACTTGGCCCACATCTTCTACAGACATAGGTCAACTTTCACCCACTGGACTCCCTCTTTGGTACTTAGTATTAGAAGCCTAATCCTCCTTCTCCATTGTAACTCGTCACAGAGGCACCAGACCGGACATGCTGTATTCTTAGTGTAGCCAATTCCATTTGGTTACTTTATATGGGTCTTCTTGTCCCATTCTTGGAGAGCAGGAGACCTCCATGTCCAGCTTGCCGGGTCATATGTGAAGTGAAGTGAGGAATCATTACACATTTACTTGCATACAGTAAAATCCTTCAAGACATCACTAGGAGCTTCACTAACGTAGTGATTCTAAATCTGACACTTGGCCCACATCCTCTACATACTTAGGTCAACTTTCATGGCATGGAAGGTCTTAGTCCTCCTTCTCCATTGTTACTCCTCACACGGGTAGTTCAACTTTCACCCATTGGTCTCACTTATTGTTACTTAATATGGGAGGACTTGGTCCTCCTCCATTGTTACTCCTCACAGAGACACCTAGCCTGGCATGCTGTTTTCTCTTAGTGTAGCCACTCCCATTTGGTTGTTTTATACTGTTCTTCTTGCCCCATTCCTGGAGAGTAGGAGACTTCCATTTCCAGCGTGCAGGGTCGTATGTGAAGTGAAGTTAGGAATCATTACACATTTACTTTCCTATGTTATATCCTTTGAAACATCACTAAGAGCTTCAGGTATGTAGTGACTCTACCTCTGAAATTCGGCCCACATCCTGTATAGACATAGATCAAGTTTCACCCATTGGTCTCACTTATTGGTACTTAGTATGGAAGGCCTTAGTTCTTCTTCTCCATTGTTACTCCTCACAGAGGCACCAGACCTGGCATACAGTCTTCTCTTAGTGTAGCTAGTTCCATTTGGTTGTTTTATAATATTCTTCTTGCCCCATTCCTGGAGAGCAGGAGACATCCATGTCCAGTTTTCAGGGTCATATGTAAAGTGAAGGGAGGAATAATTACACGTTTACTTGCATACAGTAACATCCTTCAAGACCTCGCCAGGAGCTTCACTAAGATAGTGATTCTACTTCTGAGACTTGGCCCACATCTTCTACAAACTTAGGTCAACATTCATCCTTTGGTCTCACTTATTGGTACTTGGCATTGAAGGTCTTAGTCCTCCTTCTCCATTGTTACTCCTCACACGGGTATCAGACCTGTCATATTGTCCTCTCCTAGTTTAGCCACTTCCATTTGGTTGCTTTATATTGTACTCCTTGCCAAACTTTCTTCCCCCACCCAGCACTTATTTCACTTTCACCAACACAGATTATTTTATGGTTCCAGTGGAGACATGGGAAACACGTCTCCTTCATGCAGCAAAACCTTTACCAAAACCTTCTCAATTACTTGATCTTTAAATCGGCTACTCAACCGTACCTCAATTCAGCTTGGTTGATGCATCTGTTACTACGTAGCAGTTCTTCTTTACAAGGGCCTCTTGGGTATATCCCTATAGGATAGGACCTCCCTGAAGGAACATGGTCCCCAGACTGTGTTCCTCCCAGCACAGGGGAATTTGAGGGATCAAATGGTAACCTAGAGAACATTGTAGACCATCTCCTGCAGAATCTGGTGCCCTTTTTTCCCCAAATTGGAGGAACATTTCCTCCAAAAATATAATGTAGGACATCTGTTACTTCACTAAGTGGAGGAATGAGGCCAAGCCAGTTAAACACACCTTGCATCGTTTGCTGGTTCACTGTGACTCCCTTCAACTTTTGTGTTCCCTTTAGTCCATAGCCCCAACAGTGTAGTCTCAAAGCCTCTATTACTCTTTGGAGTTTAGTTATCTGCTCAGCAGTCCTGGATCTAGAGTGTTGCTGAGATGTCCCCCCCCCCCAGATTTTAATTTGTGCCCCCCCTCGGGTCTCAGAGTGCATCCACTCATCTGTGAGCCAGTCATATGGGGACATTTGATTTACATTGCTGGGGACAGTTGATGTAATGAGGCACTCTCTTGAGGGCAGTTGATGTAAGAGGGTACTCTGATGGGTCAATCGATGTAAGGGGGCACTCTGGGACATTTGGTGTAAGAGGAATCTCTGATGGGGCAATTGATGTAAGAGGGTGTACTGGTGCCAACAATTGATGTAATGAGGCACTCTCTTGAGGGTAATTGACATAGGAGGGTACTCCGATGGGTCAGTCGATGTAAGGGGGCACTCTGGGACATCTGGTGTAAGAGGAATCTCTGATGGGGCAATTGATGTAAGAGGGTGTACTGGTGTCAACAATTGATGTAAGGAGGTACTCTCTTGAGGGTAATTGACATAGAAGAGTACTCTGATGGGTCAGTTGATGTAGGGGGGCACTCTGGGCATTTGGTATATGAGGAATCTCTGATAGGGACAATTGATGCAAGAGGGCATACTGATGCCAACAATTGATATAAGGAGTTCCTCTGATGGGGCAATTAATGTTAGAGGGTGTACTGGTGTCAACAATTGATGTAAGGAGGTACTCTCTTGAGGGTAATTGACATAGGAGGGTACTCTGATGGGTCAGTTGATGTAAGGGGGCACTCTGGGCATTTGGTATAAGAGGAATCTCTGATGCCAACAATTGATATAAGGAGTTCCTTTGATGGGGCAATTGATGTAATGAGGCTCTCTGATGGGGCAAATGATGTAAGGGGGCACTCTGTTGGGGACCTTTGGTGTAAGGAGATCTCTTATGGGAACAATTGATATAAGGAGGCACTCTGATGAGGACCATGATGTAAGGGGCCAATCTGATGAGGACCATGATGTAAGGGGAGGAAATCTGATGGGGAGCCTGATGTAAAGGGGGACTTTTATGAGGAATGGTGTAAGTAGGGACACCCTATATAAGACGGCACAGGTTCTGTTTAATCATCTCAATCCAATGACAACCTAATACTTCCTGTGTACTCTTGCATTGCCTTTACACACTCATAAATATGTGCGAATATGAGCAAAACAAGCGCCTGAAATTATGTTTGAAAAAAGCAGATGCTCAAACATCAGTACCGTGTACAAGGGGCCCTAATCTAACCATGTTTTAGGGTGAATTACCCACCTCCTGATCCTCCTGATTTCATATCCTCACTTTTCATCATCCTCTGATCTCTACATATAACTTTTGGATGCATGTGCCTTGTAGATTTCGATGTTTCGTTTCTTTGTGGCTCACCTTGTTTTTTTTTTTTCCTGCGTCCCTCTTTGTCTCCTTTTATAGCTCTTCTCTATCTTTGCCTTTGCGACATGTGGAAGTTACTCTGGACAATTCACGCTCAGCGTCGACTGTGTCAACAAAACCGAGAGCAAGCGGAATATTAAAGTGGACTTTGAATATCCATTTAAGTGAGTTTGTAGTCATCCGCCTTTTCTTTTGTATGACTTAACGTTGGCTTCCTGTGCATTTTGATATGGCAAGGCGGGCATGGAGGTAATGAAATGAAACTGGGGGTACGAGGAACACATTATTATTGTACAGGATTTATATAGCGCCGATAGTTTGCTCAGCTCTTTACATTATGATGGGAGACAGTACACGAGACGGTACAGTAACAATACAATTCAACACAAGAGGGATTCGAGGGCCCTGCTCCTTGGAGTTTACAATCTAGGAGGGAGGGGATAATGGTACAAGAGGTAATACCTGTGGGGGATGGAGTGGTTGGAAGAGTAGAGGATTCCAGTATTAGCTGAGGGTGGGGTAGGCTTCCCTGAAGAGAGAGGTTTTCAGAGTGCACCTAAAAGTGAGCAGAGTAGGCGATTAGTCTGATGGATTGGGGTAGGGAGTTCCAGAGGATGGGGGAGGCCCTGGAGAAGTCCTGGAGACAAGCATGGGAGGAGGAGACACGGGAGCTAGAGAGTAGGAGGTCTTGTGAGGAGCAGAGAGTACGGTTTGGGTGATATTTGGAGACAAGATCGTGATGTAATTTGGGGCAGTGTTATGAACGGCTTTATACGGCAGTGTTAGCGTTTTGAATTTTATCCATTGGGCAATTGGAAGCCAGTGGAGGGATTGGCAGAGAGGGGTGGAGGACACTGAGTGTAGGTCAGTGGAGGGATTGGCAGAGAGGGATGGAGGACACTGAGTGGAGGCCAGTGGAGGGATTGGCAGAGAGGGATGGAGGACACTGAGTGGAGGCCAGTGGAGGGATTGGCAGGGAGGGGTGGAGGACACTGAATAGAGGCCAGTGGAGGGATTGGCAGAGAGGGATGGAAGACACTGAGTGGAGGTCAGTGGAGGGATTGGCAGAGGGGGATGGAGCACACTGAGTGGAAGCCAGTGGAGGGATTGGCAGAGGGGGATGGAGGACACTGAGTGGAAGCCAGTGGAGGGATTGGCAGAGGGGGGTGGAGGAAACTGAGTGGAGGCCAGTGGAGGGATTGGCAGAGAGGGGTGGCAGATACAGAAAGATTAGTAAGGTGGATGAGTCTGGCAGCAGCATTCATGTAGACTGAAGAAGGGATAGCCTGCGATGAGTTCGGCCAATGAGGAGGGAGTTACAGTAGTCGAGGCGTGATATAATAAGGGAGTGGATGAGTTGCTTAGTGGTCTACGAGGTTAGGAACGGTCGTATCTTGGAGTTGTTGCGGAGGTGAAGTCTACATGAGTTTGTCAGCGATTGGACCTGGGGCTGAAAGGACAGATTGGAGTCTAGGATGACACCTAGTACCCTGGCTTGAGGGGAGGGACTGATGATAGTGTTGTTGGTCTTGATGGAGAAGTCGGGGGGGCGCGGGCTGGGGGGAAATCTAGAAGCTCAGTTTTGGAAAGATTGAGTTTGAGGAAGTGGAGTGACATCCAATCCGATATGTCACTTAGTAGGCTTGTGATACGAGCGGAGACTGAAGGGGTGAGGTGAGGGGTAGAGAGGTAGATTTGTGTGTCGTCAGCATAGAGATGGTAATTGAAGCCGTGGGAGCTTATCAAGTGACCAAGGGAGGACGTGTAGATGGAGAAGAGAAGGGGTCCAAGGACAGAACCTTGAGGGACCCCGACAGAGAGAGGGAGTGAAGAGGAGGTGGCAGCGTTATAATTAACACTGAAGGAGCGCTGTGGTAGATAGGAGGAGAGCCAGGAGAGAGCGGAGTCTCTGAGGCCAAGAGTGGAGTTTTTTTTTTTTGAGGAGGGGCTGGACAACCCCATTGGGATACCTTTGCAAACCTCTTCTTCTGAAAAATTCTTGGTGCCTGGTCACTGTATTAATCCGATAACTCAAGAGTATTAAGGTTGGTGGCATCCAGACAACTAGTACAGGTATTCTTTAAAGGGGATCTGTCAAGGTTGAGATATGGGAGTCGCCATTGTTGACTTGTTTTTGAGTGATCAGCCATTTTGAGTTACCTTATCATTCATATAATTGTTTCAATATTTAGTCAGTGACCATAGACCACTATTGAGTAATGGCCGTTCCCGTATTTCTTTCATAACAGGTTCTTTTTAAAGTCTATGTAAACCCTAAATTGGTACTTTTGGCATCATGCTTTACTGGAAAATTTTTTGGAAACCCATTCTAAAGTTTCTTACCTGGAGATTGTACCAGTAATTGCGCTTCCTGTTACTGTCTGACAGCTCTGCCTCTCAATTAGTTGCAGCCTTGTTAGCCACTCTTTAGTCAACCCTTGGGTTGCCCTGTCTGATAGACCTGATAAAAAAAGTGTGCCCAATGTTTGACTTACAAGTCCACAATTCTTTATTGTTCATGATACTTAAATCACAGAGGAAAAACTGTAGCCAACGCGTTTCGGGAACAAAAGCGTGAAAACTGAGCTGTGAAAATGCACCCTTACTACATGTCATTTGAAGTTGCTCCATTTTCACTCTTGACAGAGATTATCCTTTCAGGAGTATCTTATATAGTCCTGAAAGGACACATAGGGGTTTATTTACTAAAGCTGGAGAGTCCAAAATCAGACTCCCTTCTGCATAGAAACCAATCAGCTTCTAACCTCAGCTTGTTCAATGAAGCTTTGGCAATGAAACCTGGAAGCTGATTGGTTTCTATGCAGAAGGGAGTCTGATTTTGGACTCTCCAGCTTTAGTAAATAAACCCCATAGAGTCCAATTTACACAGATGCTACTTCTTTTAAGCCCTGATGTGGGGATTATTTTGCTCTGAAACGCATTGGATGCAGTTCTAATGCAGGAAGATACTCCCAAAATATATATATACACACAGGTAGCACCAACAATATGGAATGTGTCAAGGCAGATGTTGATTGTCCATGAACAGAAGTGGAAAGTTCTGCCTGCAGTTCTTGGACAATCAGCATCTGCCTTGACACAATAAAACTTGTTGTTGCTACCTGTGTGTTGGGAGTATCTTCCTGATATGCATCAGAACTGAAGATTTGGCTTGGATAAGCTATGAAGCATCTTCAGTGTTACAGTAGAAATATTTAAATTGACCTTCCAGGGTTCCTTGGTGCTCAGAAGTTCTCATGTTCTTTCAGTGCTGTTTTAACATCTCTACCCTGGAGATTGGACAATTCACACCTTCAGCTATGTGACTAGAGGTGTTAACACCTATGTAGACTTCCTGTGACAAAGCCTGGGATGATGTCACTAGAACAGGTTGATTCTACAACTTTCACACCTCTCATCCTGTTCTTAGACAGGCAAACATCTGCCTTGAGGCATTCCTTGGTATTTGTGCTTCCGGTGTGACTATAAATGTTGGGGTGTTTTCCGGACGCTCATTAGAACTAAAAAAGCATCTTGGAGAAACTACAAAATATCTTCAGCATTAAAGAACAAGCTCTGGTTAAATGTGACCAACTGCTACTAGCTGTATCATGACCTGGATAAAGGAGAACCTTCACAGACATTGATGTCTTGAGTTCCAAAATCCAAAATTCGCCATGTTCTCTCCTCGTATATCTCCAAGCACCATATTCTGAGCTTGTCCTACTGGAAGAAAGGTTCCCATTTTGGTGGGAGCTGGGCCAGATTTCTGAATTTGGACCTCAGATTCAGTACTTGAATAAGGAGACCTCAGCGTTGCAGACGCCCAAGGTGCTGAGGAAGAGTACTATATGTGCAGGATCTCCTGGATCCTCTGGATCTTATTTTTTGCTGAGCAATGATAACATTTCTTTTTGTGAATAAGCCAGTTTGAGTTCCTGATCAAATCTGAATGAGTTCCTGATGCTCATTAGAACTAAAAAAGTGGCTACGTGAAACTATGAAACATCTTCAACATTACAGAACCAGCTCTGGTTGAATGTGACCAACTGTTACTAACTGTATCATGACCTGGATTAAGGAGAATGTTCACAGAAATTGTTGTCTTGAGTTCCAAAATTCTCCATGTTCACTCCCCATTCCTCATTATATCTCCAAGCACCATGTTCTGAGATTGTCCTACTGGAAGAAAGGTTCCCATTTTGGTGGGATCTGGGCCAGATTTCTGAATTTGGACCTCAGATTCAGTATTTGAACAAGGAGACCTCAGCGTTGCAGACTCCCAAGGTGCTCAGGAAGAGTACTATATGTGCAGGATCTCCTGGATCCTCTAGATCTTTTTTTTTGTTGCGCAATGATAACGTTTCTTTTTTGTGAATAAGGCAGTTTGAGTTCCTGATCACATCTGAATGAGTTCCTGATGCTCATTAGAACTAAATAGTGTCTTGGAGAAACTACGAAACCTCTTCAACATTACAGAACCAGCTCTGGTTGAATGTGACCAACTGCTACTAGCTGTATCATGACCTGGATAAAGGTGAGCCTTCACAGTCATTGTTATCTTGGGTTCCAAAATCCAAAATTCTCCATGTTCCCTCCCCATTCCTCATTATATCTCCAAGCACCATGTTCTGAGCTTGTCCTACTGGAAGAAAGGTCCCCATTTTGGTGGGAGCTGGGCCAGATTCAGTATTTTAACAAGGAGACCTCAGCGTTGCAGACTCCTAAGGTGCTCAGGAAGAGTACTATATGTGCAGGATCTCCTGGATCCTCTGGATCTTATTTTTTTTGTTGAGCAATGATAATGTTTATTTTTTGTGAAAAAGGCAGTTTGAGTTCCTGATCAAATCTGAATGAGTTCCTGATGCTCATTAGAACTGAAAAAGTGTCTTGGAGAAACTATGAAACATCTTCAACATTACAGAACCAAGTCTGGTTGAATGTGACCAACTTCTACTAGCTATATCATGACCTGGATAAAGGAGAGCCTTCACAGTCATTGTTATCTTGGGTTCCAAAATTCTCCATGTTCCCTCCCCATTCCTCATTATATCTCCAAGCACCATGTTCTGAGATTGTCCTACTGGAAGAAAAGGACCACATTTTGGTGGGATCTGGGCCCGATTTCTGAATTTGGACCTCAGATTCAGTATTTGAACAAGGA